GAGTATCTCAACAAAATTCGCTTGATGTCCTCTGCTTCCTTTTCTGTTAAGCGGGAACTTAGGTATGTGACTTGTTCCTCCCTTTTTCCAAGCTGGAACGGAATGGTTATTTCCGTCGGCTCGACCCTATACTCGTCCTCAATTCTGGGGTCAAGCTCCAAAGCTTCCAACTTGGAGGGACCAATGTCTCCAATGACGTTGACTTCTTGGTGTCGAGTCAGTTTCGGAGTCGGTTGTACCTTTAGGCTGGCCAGGTAGCATTCACGGGCTGTCTTTTGATCGGCATGTAACGTGACGATTTTGCCGTCTTCAGACGGAAATTTCATTGCCAAGTGGGGGGTAGAGACGATGGCCCTCAGCTTATTCAAGGAGGGTCGACCCAGAAGGATATTGTACGATGTGTTGGCATTCACCACGACGTATCGTACTTTGATCCTTCGTCTCTGCCGATCGTCTCCAAAATAAGTATACAGGTCTATTGTTCCTCGAGTGTCGACACGCTCACCTGAGAACCCCACCAAAGGCTCATCGTAAGGTGTCAATTCCTACTCTGGGATCCCGAGTTGTTCAAAAGTTTTCCAGTAAAGGATATCAGCCGAGCTTCCCTGATCAACGAGAGTTTTCCTTACAATGCAATTGTTGATTTCCACACTGATGACCATGGGATCATCTTGCACTGGGTCCACACCCTGGAAATCTTGTTCGGTGAATGTGATAGGGGGCATATGGATGACTGCTGCCCGGTCTATAGTGTTAACCGACTTGATCGCCCTCAGGTGCCTCTTTCGCGCCGAAGACGAGCTTCTGCCCCCCGCAAAGCCTCCTGCAATGGTGTTTATGACTCGTCTGGGTTGATTTCGGTCGCCTTGGTTCCTGTCTTGAGACCTACTCCGCTCCCTGGATCGGTTTCGCCGAGGTGCTCGATCTCGATTCCCCCTTCGGTATTCTCTTCTTCCTTCACGATTGTCGCTCCTTCGATGATCCGTCGATCGAACATAATTCTGAAGATGTCCCGCCTTGACAAGATCTTCAATTCGATCCCGAAGGGCGGAGCATTCTTCAGTTGTGTGCCCCCTGTTTCGATGGAACTGGCATGTTTTTGTTTTGTCGGCATGCGGGGGGGTCATGGCTCTTCTTGGGACGGCCAAAACTTCGGTGGCCAGGGCATGTTCCAACACTTTAGCCCTGCTGGTGTTGAGTGGTGTGTACTGCAAATATCTCGGCCCCCTGGCATTCTTTTCCCGATCTGGCATATCTCTTTGGCGCTGTCTAGGAGGCTCTTTGTCGTTTTCCTTTTTGGCGAGCGATAGATCGGGTCAATTTTGACTTTGGAATTCCGCCAGTTCCTCCATCTGCATGTATTTGGTAGCCCTTTGTTGCAGGTCATCCAGGTCCCGGGGTGGTTTCTTGCACAGGCTGTTGACAAAAGGTCCGGGTCTTAGCGTTGTGGTTAGGTGATGCATCGCTATGGCCGGATCCAGATCTCGGATAGATAACGTCATTTTTCCGAACCTTTCCATGAAAGTTCTCATAGGTTCTTTCTTCTCTTGACGTACGTTGACCAGTGCGATGGACGTGAGCTGATGAGGCCAGCTCGTGGCGAACTGTATTACAAAGCGGGAAGACAAGGACGTGAAAGAGTCCACGGTCCCGGGTGGAAGCCTGGTAAACCAGTTGAGTGTCGGTCCTTTTAAGGAGGTGGGGAAGACTTTGCAAAGAATAGCGTCCTCGTCCGTGTACAGGCCGACCTGGGTGACGAAAACATCCAAATGCTCTTCAGGGTCGGTGGTTCCATCGTATTTTTCTAAGGTCAGGTTTTTCCAGTTGTCGGGCAAACGAGCCCCGGCAATTTCTGGCGTGAATGGAGTCCTTCCCTGTCTTCGTTGTTGGTCTTGCGTTGTCGCTGGTCCACCTGATGGGCGAGGAACATTGACTTCCTTATACCATCCAGA